GGTTGTATGCATTGTGGGCATGTGGTGGACATCTGGTTCATCTGCTAAGCAGAGCATCCAAGATCTCACGTCACACAGCAGCTCCATTGCATGGATCGATCTCTTTACCGCATCTAGATCCCGCAAGGGAGATTAATTATGCTAGGCAAAAGTCCAGCAGCAAGAGGGGTTTCCGCACGGGAAGGGGAGGGGGGGTCGATAGTCTGTTGTCAAGTATTGTCTTGTTACTTCAGCGCGGGGAAGTACTAAGATCTCATCGCCTACTGAGTGGTCCATATTCTCGGAAAGACCCTCGGGGGATCCTATGAGAGCATCTGGATAGCTCGTCTCAGGTGGGGAAACGAGGCCTTTAGTATCATGATCCAATTGACGAACAGCGCTTGGCGCGGTGGCTAAACTGCCTGTCCCGAATGGGATCATCCCATGTTGAGTACGTTAGAGTCTGCACTCTCCACAGAGCCAATAACAGAGCTTCATGCTATGTGAGCATCACGACGAGAAATAGGTGTCTGTAGATACTAGGCCCTCGAGTCGCCATGATCAAGGAGCGATCGTGTCCGTGGAGGAATCCACTCTTTCCGGACATGATGCCCGGGCCGTCCTTTGGGTATAACTACTAGTAGTAGTCATCTGCTCCATTCGCCGACATGAGCCCAGTCGAGATGACATATCGGCACCGTACCCTTTGGGATTCGCGGAATTCGGTCGGCAGCAGTGTTTAGCCCTTCTAGAATAACATTGGCTTCTGGAGAGTCGTCAGCGAAGGGACGCAAGCATCATCATCAGACCATAAACAGGCAAGTACCATGTGGCCAATCTGTAGTCCATAAACATCTATCAGGTACGCCGCACCACGCACCGAGCCATTGTGACAACGAAATACTTGCTCACTCACCAGCCAGTGTCAAATTGCACGTAACAGTTCTCACGTGCTGGAAGATGATTTCTGCCCAGATGTGCAGTCATGGGGAATATCGCTCCAGATGGTTGGTCTGGTTGGTTCATCTGCCAGCTCTTGCCGTCCCCCAAGCCCCCTCCTTCCCTTTCCGTCGTCAGTTTCCATGGTTGCCCCGGCGGAATGTCGTCCCGAAATCGCCGCCTTTCGCGCTGCCCTGATTGGTGCAGCTTTCGGTAGAATCCCGGTTAAACGGATCAAGCTCGGGTAAGAGGATCGCCGATGTTCAGCCGTGTGAGCGACATCCCGCCAGAAGTGGGGTAACTTTGAAAGCTGGGGAGCATCTCTCCCCGATTTAGTGCCCTTTCAACCCAGCGCTTTTCCGAAATCGCCAACATCATCCCTCTCGATACCCAAAAATGCCATGCCGAGCACCAATATTGAAGAGGTGCGGAGGGGCTGTGTTTAGTTTTTCGTTGTAACCGAGGCTTTCTGATATTCAAATTTCTCCGTCATCGCAAGATGTTTGTCGGCCGGCGATGCACGACATAAACTTTTACAACGGTGGTGTAACGAGCTCGTCGTACTTTAACCGGCCAGCTCCCGCCGTCTTCTTCCGGGCCCAGCCTCGTTCTTTAATGTCCCATGTGTTTCTTCGTCCCTCTTCTACTGTGCTCCAGCTGAGTTGGACGTGATATAAGACACATACTACGTCCCAGAAGCTTAGAATCGGCGCTGCGAGGTGCTTGGAGCTTTGTGTAACTTTGTGACTAAATTCACAATCGTATCGATTGTCGTCTCAACAAAGCATTCATTCTTCTCATAATGGCCGATATAAACATCGAAGAGGTGCTCAAGAAGCTTACATTAGCTGAAAAGGTCGACCTGCTGACAGGTAAGCCTCTCTCCATGGCTCTACGGCGGATATAGTGAGATACAAAGGAAGAAACTACAATCACCTCGAGTGTGCTATGTCATTTCGCTTACACCTAATTGCAGGAGCCGACTTCTGGCACACCAAAGCCCTCCCTAAACATGGGATTCCCTCGCTCCGCATGTCCGACGGCCCCAACGGTGTAAGAGGCACCAAGTTCTTCAATGGCGTCCCTGCGGCATGTTTCCCATGCGGCACAGCTCTCGGGTCAACTTTCAACCAACAATTGCTCGAGGAAGCCGGCAAGAAGATGGGCGAGGAGGCCCTAGCAAAGAGTGCCCACATCATTCTTGGCCCAACCATCAATATGCAGAGATCCCCGCTCGGAGGCCGTGGCTTCGAATCCATTGGCGAGGATCCGTTCCTCGCCGGTCTTGGCGCCGCTGCTCTTGTCCGGGGAATTCAGAGCACCGGCGTGCAAGCTACTATCAAGCACTTTCTGTGTAACGATCAGGAAGACAAGCGAATGGGCGTCCAGAGCATTGTTACTGAACGGGCGTTGCGCGAGATTTATGCCCTCCCGTTCCAGTTGGCAGTGCGAGATGCGCGGCCAGGCGCCTTCATGACGGCTTACAACGGCATCAACGGCACCATGTGCAGCGAGAACTCCAAGTACCTCGACCGAATGCTACGCAAGGAGTGGGGCTGGGAGGGTCTTATCATGAGCGACTGGTACGGCACCTACAGCACGACTCCGGCCGTCGTCGCCGGTCTGGATCTGGAGATGCCCGGCCCCGCTCGGTTCCGCGGCGAAGCTCTCAAGTTCAACGCCTCTACCAACAAGCCATTCACTCACGTCATTGACGAACGAGTCCGTGCTGTTCTGCGACTTGTCAAGAAAGTATCAGGCCTCGATATCAAGGAGCTTGGCCCGGAAAGGGAAGCAAATACACCCGAGACGGCGGCTTTGCTCCGAAAGATTGGCAACGAGAGCATCGTCCTCCTCAAAAACGACAACAACGTCCTGCCATTTAAGAAGGACAAGAAGACTCTGGTCCTTGGCCCCAACGCCAAAGTAGCCACCTACCACGGCGGTGGTTCTGCTTCCCTCCCTGCCTACTACGCTGTGACTCCATATGACGGCATTGCTGCGAAGCTAGGTTCTTGTCCCGCTTATACCGTTGGCGCTTACACCCACCGTTTCCTTCCCCTACTCGGTTCTCAGTGTATCGATCCCAATGGCAAGCAGGGCATGAGGTGGACCGTCTACAATGAGCCTCCCGGCACGCCCGACCGCCAGTCCGTCGACATGCTGTACTTTAGCAAGACGGATATGCACCTGCTCGACTACAACAACCCAAAGGTAGCCAACACTTGGTACGCCGACCTGGAAGGCTCGTTTGTGCCGGACGAGGATTGCACTTACGAGCTGGGACTTGTCGTATCCGGGACCGCCAAGGCCTTTGTCAACAACAAGCTCATTGTGGACAACGCCACGAAACAGGTTGCTGGAGATACCTTCTTTGGCGCAGCCACGCGCGAGGAGAGGGGGTTCGTTGACTTGAAGAAGGGCGAAAAGTATGAATTCCGCATCGAGTTCGGCTCAGCACCTACGTTCACACTCAAGGGCGACGCGTCTGTGCCCGGCCACGGGTCTCTCCGCGTCGGTGGATGCAAGGTCATCGACGACCAGGAGGAAATCAAAAAGTCCGTCCAGCTGGCCAAGGAATACGACCAAGTCATTATTTGTGCCGGTCTCAACTCGGACTGGGAAACTGAGGGCGCTGACCGAGTGAGCATGAAGCTCCCCGGTGTTTTGGACCAGCTCATCACCCAAGTTGCCGCTGCCAACTCCAACACTGCCGTGGTCATGCAGACCGGCACGCCCGAGGAGATGCCCTGGCTCGAAAAGACGCCCGCCGTTGTCCAGGCTTGGTATGGAGGCAACGAGACGGGCAACTGCATCGCTGACATTCTGTTCGGCGACGCCAACCCCTCCGGCAAGCTTTCTCTTAGCTTTCCCAAGCAACTTCAAGACGTGCCATCCTTCCTCAACTTTCGGGCCGAAGCTGGGCGAACACTGTACGGGGAGGACGTGTACATGGGCTACCGATACTACGAGTTTGCTAATCGAGCCGTGAACTTCCCCTTTGGCCACGGTCTGTCCTACACCAGCTTCTCCTTTTCCGACCTGTCAGTGACGTCGAGCGAGGGCAAGGTGACGGCCGCGCTCAAGGTCAAGAATACCGGATCCACAAAGGGCTCTGAAGTTGCTCAGATGTACATAAAGCCCAGGCAAGCTGCCAAGATCCGCCGCCCCGTCAAGGAACTCCGTGGCTTCGCCAAGGTTGAGCTCGAGGCTGGCGAGACCAAGATGGTCACTATTACCGAATTGGAGAAATACGTCGCGGCATACTGGGACGAGGAGCGCGACCAATGGTGCGTCGAGGCAGGCGAGTACGAAGTCATCATTAGCGATAGCAGTGTGGTTCGCGATGGAAAGGCTGTCCGGGGCTCGTTCAAGGTGTCTGCTTCATACTGGTGGGATGGGATCTGATTCCGAGAATGCGTTTCATTCCACTGTAGACGGCAGCCGACGGACATTTATCAGAGGGAGTGCGTATTTTACGACTTTAATTTCAAAAAAGAATCTGCTCCAACCAATCATCACTGTGTGACATGCGAAAGTCTAGTGATGTCACACACAAGACAAACAACCTCCCCCTCTGTTCTGTCTCTTACCTCAGGGCGGCCAAATTACCATCCCCTGCGCGTTTATCCAAGCCATGGCCTCGCCCATAGCTACTGAACGCTACCATACGACGCACTAGGAGAACAGCGTCCATTCCTCTCCGGGTCAACCAGCTGGGCAGTAACCTCTCCGTCAGCACATGATGCCGATGCCCTGCCGAGGCCAAGTCCTCATCATTTGCCGACACTCCCGCGCCGCCAGCCCGAGGCGGTTCCGGGTTCCAAGGGACCGCATCGCCGAGTCTCTGCACCGTCAAGCCCGCATTCCAGGGGTTCTTCATGCCGGCCTCCCTTTGCCGCTGGCAAGACACACATGCACGTCAAAGCGAACCAGCAGCGCCTGCTATCCCAACCCGTCCACCGTGTCAACATCGTGTGTCACTTGGATAACGCCAGTACGCGACGAAACGATACACCTCCTCCCATGCCGCGCCGCTCTCGCATCTCACACGACGCGCGTACCACGGCCACCCCTTCCGCTCACCACCTCTGCAACACGAGCCGCCGCTCCTCGCCGCCCTCGGCACCACTCGCAAACATGGCCTCCAAAAACTCCAAATCGGCCAAGGCCTCCCGCGCGCTCTGCATCGGCGCAGCCTCGCCCCCGCCGTCCAGGATGCTGCCCGCCCAAGCGTCCACCTCCTCCCGCACGCCGCTCGTCCGCTCAAACCTCGTCTCAACCTTGGTCCCGTCCTCCCCCGTCACCGTCACCAGGTCCCCGTCGGACCGGACGGCGCCCCTCTCGCAGGCAACATCCCACTCAAAGGCGCTCGCCAGCGTCCCCGCAGAGTGGCAGTAGGTGCCCACAGCACCGGACTCGGTCCTGACGAGGGCGGTCACGGTATCCATGGGCGCGAGGTGCCCGCGCGTCAGGCCCGTGTACGCCCTCACCGCGGCGGGCGCGTCCCCCTCGCCCCGGAGGAACAGCCGCGTCGCCGCGGCGTGGTGCACGCCCCCGTCGAGCAGGAACCCGCCCTGGTGGGCCGGCCTCGCGCGCCAGCTCGTCCCGTAGTACTTGTTGTCCGGGCCCGTGAGGCCCGCGACCCGGACGGAGAAGTGGGTGACCCTGCCGAGGGCGCCGGCCTGCCCGGCCGCGTACAGCAGCCGCGGGGCGAAGCGCACGTTCTCGGCCACGGCGAGGATCGGCCGCCCGGGGGCCAGGCTCTCGTGGAACGCGATGAGGTCCTGCGCCGTGGCCACGTCCGCGGCGATGGGCTTCTCGGCGAGCACGTGCTTGCCCGCGGCGAGGGCGGCCCGCACGTACGCCGGCTGGGAGACGATGGGCAGCGCGACGATGACGGCCTGCACGTCCTCCCGCCGCAGGAGGTCGGCGTACTTGCTGCCGGGGGAGTCTTCCGCGTAGAGGGCCGGCTGGGGCGCGTCCTTGATCTGGCCGGCCGTCTCTTGGGCCGACTTGAGCGAGAGTGAGTAGAGGGCTTTGAGGTCGAGCCTGGCGTTGCCCAGGACGGCCGGCTGGTTGTGCCGTGCGTTAGTTTTTTTTGCGAACGAGGTGGACGACGACGGGGCTTGGGGAGTGGGCTCACGAGATGCTCGGCCTTGACGAAGAGGCCGCTGCCGATGATGGCGACGCCAATGGGCTGCGTCATGATGGGCTTTTGGATGTCTTGTCTACTACGCTTTGGATGGGTTGCTTCTTGGACTGTGGGTGCATTGGGGTGCGTGAGAATTTATTTGATCCGGGGGTTATCGAGTATCCAGATCCGCGATGCGTGGGGGGAGGTCAAGGAAGTGGGGGACACATGACGAAACTGCTGGTGGTTTTAGGCTCAGTTCATTCGTAGTTATTTATACCGACTCGACTTGCTTGATTTGGTGGGTCCGCAAGCCGGCCGCATGTCTGGTACAATTCACATCTCATGCAAGGCCTCGCCGAGTAGAAACGCTTTGGAGTTCATCTGACAAGAAATGATGCAACGTTGAAAAAAAATAGTTGGATATCCTAGTATAAAAGCATCTCTACATCTCTATTTGGAGACTGTATCTGTAACCCCAAACGCCACGCACCCAAAGACTGTATGATATGCCAAACTCCCTTTACTCGAAACTACTGTGTATGGTATTGATGAGGCTGAAACAGAGGCTGATGCTGTAATGGATGATGATTAGGTAGAGAATGATAGTCTTGTGGTATTGGATAATGTTGTGATTGTTGCTGTTGTGATTGTTGTTGTTGTTGTTGTTGTTGTTGCTGCTGCTGCTGCTGCTGGTGGTAATTCCGTTGAATCTGGGCCGTCGACTGCAGTACCAGATACCCCGGTCCCAACATGGGGTGAGGCGCATATTGGTACGTCATTGTGTCGAGCTCTCTGGGAGCCAGGATGACGGGCTGTGGAGCGGCAAGTTCGTGATATTGCCATGGTGGCACTTGCGGAGGGACGTACCAGGCCGGCAGCATCTGGGTCGGCTGTGCATATTCTTTGTGGGGGTATAACGCGTGAGGATAGGCGGCAGTACCGGGTGTCATGACTGGCGAAGGTCGATTGGTCGTCGATACCAAAGTAGACGTCATTGTCGACTCGCTGCTTGCCGCCCAGGCCTGCTGGGTCGTCCATATTCCCTTTCTCCTTCGCATACCAATAACGAGAAGCATCACGAGCTGCACCAGCCGGATCCACGTGTTGCCGACAGCATCCACAAGACTCCACCAGGGAGGACTGGCTCCGGACGGAAGAAGCCACCGCGCATAGAGGGTGAGGAAAAACGTCCACCGGACAAAATCCAAGACGGTAACAGTGAGATAGAGAATGGCGGCCTGTCAGTACCGAGTTAGCGTACCGCACCCCTCGCGCACGGAGGAAAGCAAACACTTGCCTGACGGGTGAGCACACGACTTTTGTGCTTGTGCATCACAAAAGAGGCATATCCGACCTGAAAGAGGGAGATGATCCACAAGGAAGTATAAAACAAGGCCCCTAGTTTGCCGACAACCTTCAATGACTGAGAGAGCTGGGCGTAGCTCGAATTGCTTTCTGAGCCGTTCCAATATGCCACCCAAGATGCCGTCGGTTGTCCAAAGTATGCGAGGGCGAAAGCGAAGAGAATGGTGGCGGCAACGTAAGCCGTGTACCGTAACACGGTCTGGTACTTGGATGGCTTTGGATTCAGCGAGTGCATGAGTCCGTTTCCAAGCTCGATGAAAATAATAACAAACAGAATATCGACGAGATGCTCAAACAAGTTGCCGGTGAAGCTGAGATATCGCTCAGATCGAATTACACTGCTTATCTCATCGTGCGTGTGGTTGGCTGTATCGTAATAACCGGCGGCATTTTGCCACGAGTCGAGAATGGAATTAAGGGCGTCGGCGGCAATAATACAGCTGAGAGAGCTGTCTGGCATTAGCCGTGTCCATGGCAAGCAGCATTCGCAATATGAGGCCATCTATAAGCCAACTACAACCGACAGCTTGTGCAGGGTTTGGATGCAAGACTCGGACGCTCATTGAGAATAGGCCGGGTTTGACAACCAAGGTGTACTTACACTATTAAAAATGGATGACAGGCTTTTAGCCAGATGAAGGCTCGGCGAGCAGGATCCCCTCGACCTCGTGCCAGGAACAATGTCAATAAACCCACGCATATGACCGGTATTATAACGAAGCCCGAGACTCCCAAATGGACCAGAGTCCACAGTTGAGCAGCCGTCATGACGACGGCAATTTGGCCTGGTTATAGATTGGAAATGTTGTACTTGGCGCCAAGTAACCAACACATGGCAGGCATGGACCAGCAGCCGTGGGTGAAGGAAGGATGGGGGTTAATGCCGGCCTCGCAGAACGGGGCACGGCAAGGTATTAAGAGAATTTACTCGGCAACAAGGCACGTATTAAAAGGGCAGCAATATCGAACGAGAGGGAAAAAACAGCAAGGGAGAGAGCAGCCACGGGAACTAGACAGCTTGGAAAGCCAGGACGGACAAGAGGACAAATAAGAAAAGGACGAGGCGGCATGGGCGGGTGTGAAGAGAATGGAAACCCTGGGCGGGCCATTGCCAAAAAGGAAAGGGTACGAGGCAAGAAAATGGAATTCTGGCGCAAGGCGAAACCTTACAAGTTCGTTTCTAGGACAGACGAGAGTGAAGTGAGACAAGTCTGGGGGGGTTTGGTCGACAAGTCGAGTTGAGGGCCTCTTTGATCGAGCCTCCCACACAAGCCGCGACTAGGCAATTGTTTGGGGAAAGCTATTCGACTGGGTGGCGCAAGTTGCGGGCAGAAATGGACCAGGATGTGCCGAGACGTCGCGGCGCCATTGGCCGGTTGTGTGAGCATCATTTGCGAGAGCATGCCTCAAGAGGGTCCATGTCTTAGTTGCGAATTTGCACGTCCCAACGAGCGTCTGAGGCCGTACCGAGTCGAAGAAGAAAAGAAGACGAAAGGGCAAAGGAGACAAAGACGGACAATGGAGGAAAGGGGGGTTCAGCGCGTCAACGGCATGTTTGGCACGCACCCGAGGTGGTTGTCGTCATCCAAGGCGGTGGCCATCCGAGTCATAACACGCCTAGTAGCTGTATACTGCTACTATACGGAGTACTATTTTGCCCATTTGGCGGGTGGTTTGGCTGGCTCTGCGGGCAATGCGCAATAGTGTTGCACTGCATGACCCCAATCTCGCCGTGGTTTGGGGTCGAGACAGGCGACAGTGACGGGCGGTCATGTTGATGCCAGCACGGGCGTCAAGCATCGGGAGACGGGCGGTGGTACAGGCACAAGCCAGAAAAGCTTGGCGGAGGTGTCGGACGGCCCTTGCAGGACTCGCAGGACTCGCAGGAGGAGACGCGACGATCGCGATGACGGCGGGAGCGTGCGTGCGAGGCCCGAGCCAAGGTTGACTTGAGTTGAGGTGAGCTTGTCCCGCGCTCAAGCAAAGTTTCGAGTTTCGAGTTGCACGTTGGATCCGTCAAGCAACTTTAGACTGCGGAGTAGCTCCTTCCCCATGCTATTCCAGAGCGGGGGGACACGAGGATCTCTGGTCCGAGATGGGAAGCAGCACGGCCAGAAGCGGACAGGCGTGCCTTCCCAAGGTTATCCGAGCAAGATGGCAGGCGTTCCACGGCCATTTGTCCCACGCCAAAGCAATTTGTCCATTCAACCGCGGGGGCCAAAAGCATCCATGATAATGGACTAATTAACAGCCAATGCCGCCGGCTGTGCAGACTTGCTTGGTACGGAGTACGGAGTACAGCAGCAACCAGACGCTTTTGACAGTTATTATGGAGAGTGTCGGCAGCACTGCTTGCTGCCTCTGCATTAAATTGTGCACTGTGCATCGTGCACCCCTGCCGACTGCCGAGCAGGGGTCCCTCCATGTCCCCCTCGTCACTCTCGCGCATTTGATGCCAAAATGTTTGATCAAACCGCACGACTTTGCCGCCCCGAGGACCCGGGCACCAGCGCAAATCGACGTCGAAATGCAAGCACAAGCAGCAGCGGGCATTCACTCGCCGTGCGTGCGCTGCCAACATTCCCAAGACGTCTGGGCCAGTGCGGCCGGCCCTGGCGACCACGGCCCAGCCGCAATCCATATGTATTGCCGCGTGTCTGAGTGGCACATCAATGTCTCTAGCCACCTCGCGCGCCATTTTCCAGACTCGGCAGTCTGGTAGGCTTGTGTCGTCACTGATTGCGGTCTGATGTGCCTGGAGCGCCGCCGCGAGGGCTGAACTACCCGTCCGACCTTGACGGGCACGCCGGGTGCCAAAGATGGGAGCGACGGGAGCCCGCGTGACATTGTACATAATGATCCTGACGCCGTTTGTTTCTCTAGTCCTGTCCGCGTCTCGATGTTCGGCAGTCGTGCAAACGTGGCGTGCTAATGGAAATAGGTGAAACCCGTCCTCGTCGGCTTCCATTCCAGAGAAAAGACGGTCTGCGAGGCTCAACCATCCCCACCGACCACGCCGTCAAAAAGACGGTTTGCTCAATCTTGACTGCATCCGGAAATAATTGCCATACTAGAAGAAAGTTAGTTGCTCCACGATATTTTGGGTATCAAAGCGTGTCCGAGAGATGAAGCGTCTGGGCTAACTCGGCTGCCTCTCCTGCCTCGACCATCCTGAAGACTCTAAAGACTCTAAACACTCGCAAGTACCCGTCAGGCACGGGTATTCGTGACCTGTTGCCCGTCAGCTGGGCTGATCAAGGTGGCTGGGGCTGAACCGATGCACATCTACCGAGTATTCGTCTTGCCATACCAGACCCCAAGGGTCCGGTCAACGTGCACCGGTGCAATGCCCAACGTGCCGACCTAAACACCAACCTAGGCCACAACTATTCCAACTAGGTACTCTGTACGGAGTAGTCAACATTCTGCCACGCATTCTGGGGCACTGCTCCGGCCGGGGCGGCCCTGCTCCCGTAGTAGATCAAGGGTTACTTCGTCGCATCGTCACGCGGATGCTCTTCAGCTGTCAATGTATGCAGCCAGTGGCCAATGGTTCAGCTATCGACGATGCTACTGGGCAAAGCAAAGATTTTGCCCGCGAGTATTCTGTCAACCGCAACCTGAATCCTCCAAGCGGCGTCGCAGCCACATTCCTGGCATCATCCACGCACGACCCTTTTTACAACGATGCACATTACTGTGTGACA